AAAAGTGAACGAAACTTTTGTCTCAAGACTTTTGCAACAGAGGTTATTTTATTTAATACATTTAGATTAAAATTTTTCTAGGCAAAGCATTTAGTTCTGTTGCTTTAATTCAAAATCTTGATGTTTTATTGGGTACAGTTGCTTGTATTCAAATTTATCGTGCATCGATTAATATTTTTGCTGGTCTTGTTTTTATTTTTGGTGTCGGTACAAGATTAATTGCATTAATACTCATTCTGTAAAATGATTTAAAACCTTTTAAATATAACTTTATTGTTTCTTTTTTAGTGTACAAATATTTCGTATCAGGCATTCACCACAATTATCAGTAAGAGGTCATCTATAAAATACGTTCGCAAAAAAGAAGGAAAGGTAAGGAACCAAAAATCGGACGAATTTCAATAAAGAGTAGTCAACAGTTCAACGTGTACGAACGTCTCAAAAATTTTTCGTTTTCTCAAAAAAGATCATCGTCAAAAAGCTAACTTTTACAGAGTACATGTGCAGCCTGAACAGTTTCCAAGAATGTATTCTTTTTTTTTATTTAAAAGTTCTATAAGAGAACATGAAAATACTCAGTAGAATAAAAAGTTATGTATGATACGAAATTTTCTTTTATTTCGCTGATTCTTGTTTATTGATATTAGATAATGATGCATAGCGCGTGTACTGTCTATTTATTGATCACAAAAAGTTTGTCCTATGTCGAATACTGATCTTTTAAATATTTTGTTGAAAAAAATTAACTAAGAACATCCAAGAGAAGGAGCTAGAGTCAAGTAAAATTGAAGTAGAAAAGAGAAGGACATCAGTTCGAGTCGAATGTTCTATATGGATGACTCCTAAAAGAATCGATTGGTGTAATTCAAAATCCACTTTTAGACATTTAATTGAATAGTGATAATAAATTAATTCGTTCATAGTCACAAAGAGTAAAATTTATAATTTAATTACAAGATTTTATTTTAATTTTTTTTTTACAATCAAATACATTAATTTTTTATTAGAGATTTTTTTTCTAGATAATAACGATTCATACGTTCTTGAATCTTTTACATCTATGTATTATTTATAACTTCGGTATATATGGTCTACCAATTGAAGAAAAAGTAAATATCATTTATGAAAATAAAATCTTTATAGAATAACTTTTGTTATGCAGAAATCTGATATTGAAAATAGTACTTTGAATGCAGCACAACGTGCTATGTTATCTGAATATAAAATGGATAATTTACCAGCTGCTTTACGTATGTCACAAATTATACCAAAATTTCAACCACCAAAAAAATTTAATTTAACACAAATAGCAAAAGATTTACATGATTTTGGTATTCATAGTCTAAAAGATGATAAACATATTGAAGGTTTACCATTAGAACGTGATGGAATGATAGATCCAGATTTTCATAAAGAAATATTTTTGGGTAATCATGAATTATTTGAAACAGATATTCAAAATGATGAAAAAAAACGAAATAAAAAATTAGAAGAGATATTTAATGAGTACGAAAAAAATTTAATTTCAATTAAATTATTTTATATTTATTCATTTATTTAGAGCAGATGTTGATCATGATCAACATGTATCAAAAGATGAATTACTTAATTATGTATTAAGAAATGTAAATAAACATATACAAGAAGCTAAAGATCGAAATTCACAATTGTTTTTATTAATTGATTCAAATCAAGATGGTAAGAGAAAGAAATAATATGAAATTTTATTTTCAATTATATTTTTTAATAAGAAAAATGATCAAGCTTGAGACATCAAAGTTAAAACTGATTAACCTTTGTCGTTTTTTTTTCAAACTAAAAAATATGCAAGTTTTTATCTACTCAGTCAACTATCATACACGATAGTCATGCGATGGTATGTTTATGAAAGTATATGAGATGACAAACAAATATATCTCTACATCATAGAAGCCCCACTGTGCGAAACTTGAACACAAGAAGCAATATAAGCAATCGGATAGATTAGCTCATTGCTTCTTAATATTCAATTATAACTCTATTTATGTGCTTAACTTCTTTTATGTTGTATGTTTCTTAGCAACAGAAAATCGATTTCTGTTGTGACTAGACATGTGCGGGACCAGTCCCGGTCCCGGTCCCGGTCCCGGTCCCGGTGGCCGGGACCGGGACCAAAAAATAGAATTTTACCGGGACCGGGACCGGGACCGGGACCAAAAAATAGAATTTTACTGGGACCGGGACCAGGATCGAAAAACAATTTAGTCCCGGTCATGTTTGCCGTTGATAAGAAACATCGGCGGAAATACAAGTGAGAACTGCTCCAGATCTAAAACCGGCAGATTCCGCAACAACTTCTCTGACTATGGACAAATAACAGAAAAAGTAAGGTTACTTAGACTGGGTGTAGAACAAAAACCAAATTTAACACATTCGACGCGATTCGGTTTTATTAAAGAGTAGCTCTAGAGATTCATTTTCGTCTGCATTCATCTTGCGATAAATGCACTGCTTGGTCTTTTCATCCTATGCTGATCTGTCGTTTTCTCTTTTCCATTTGTAATATCACATGTAGCGAAGTAACCATTCTGTAGTTTGGCGAAACCCCTGTGAGGTCATTTCAGCATGACATGCCATTCGAGAAGTTGAATCAGCAACCCAATTCAAGCGCGAATTCACTAATCGCAAGCTCGAAGAAAAGGAAGGATTTAAGGGCAATGTCCGCAGACGCTGTACTGGCTGCTTTGCGAAAGGAAGGGCACAACAGTCAAGAGAAGCGAGCTATGCGGTAGCAAAGAAAGTAAAAACGTTCTGTTGTGAGTAACAATTTTTTTTGTCTTGATTTTTTTAACAAGACCCATCATGCTATGGAATAACGGACACAAAAAGAGTTCTGCAGGCAGAACAGATAAAGCTTTATGTTCAACCTCCTGTCTAAGAACAAAGAAAAATAAAGTACTTTTCTATACAGTTTCTCGTTAAAATGTAGCGTGGCTCACTGTTAGGCCACATCGTAGCGAATGTGTTAACTGAGCCCAGGACTAAAAAACAGAATTTCACCGGAATCAGCAGCAAAAGGAAAATTTCCACCGGGACCGGGACCGGGACCAAATGAAAATTTTCACCGGGACCCAAACCGGGACCAAAAAAATTTACCGAGACCGGGACCGGACCGGGACCAAAAATTTAATTTCACCGGAACCGCGACCGGGACCGGGACCAAAAAAAGTTGGTCCCGCACATGTCTAGTTGTGACCTATACGCATGCATACTTACAATTTACATGTAGTTGTGACAGAACTTTTATAGAGAAACGAAGCATGAAATTATATCATTCTGATAAATTTTTTTCTTTTGTCAAGTTATGTGTAGTTGACAAACGAAGTCATAGAAATATGGGCCAACTCTTGAATGAAAAATGAATCACCTTACAAAATAGAATAATACCCACGGAAAAATTTTTGGAGTAAAACCGCGGTCAACCGCGGTGTTTTTAAACTCACCGCGGTTTTCCAACATGACACCGCGGTGTCGCTGAACAGACCGCGGTTAACCGCGTTTTCTTATCACCGCGTTCAAAGCAAACCGCGGTGAATATTCTGGGGACCGCGGTATAATATATCGCGGTCAGACGCGTTTTCATAAACCGCGGTGGACATGTTTATGATCGCGGTATAATATATCGCGGTCAGACGCGTTTTCATAAACCGCGGTGGACATGTTTATGATCGCGGTATAATATATCGCGGTTAGTCGCGTTTTCATAAACCGCGGTGGATATGTATGTGACCGCGGCATAATATATCGCGGTTAATCGCGATTTAATGAACCGCATTGAACATGATTGTGATCGCGGTATGAGAGTATTCAGTGGTGTGAGTGTTGATTCAGAACACACACACACTGGTAAATTCCTCTATTTTTCTATTTAATAGTCTGTAATTCATTTTGGGTTTGGCTCAGTCGTCTCTAAAAAAAACGAAAGAAGAAAAACTGGCGCCATCTATAACAGGGCTTTCAATTTTTCTCAGAAACAATTGAACCAAATTGTAAATCAACTTCAAATCAATAAATAGAAAAAACAACAGAATAGTACTTAGAAATCTTATCAGGAGATATATTTGAGTACGTGGCTGTTCATATTCCCCGACGAACCACTACATATATGCATATCTGGATACATAGTTAAAAAGGTAGTTAAATACATAGATAGTTACAGCGGGTGTGGGTGAGTGTGGGTGTGGGTGTGGTGGGTGGGTGTGGGTGCGGGGTGTGGGTGTGGGGAGGCGTGTGGAAGTGGGTGGGTGCGGGTGGGTGTGGGTGTTAGTGTCTATTCATGAACAGCTTCACCCATACCCACACCCACACCCACACCACACACCCACCCACACCCACACCCACATACCCCACACCCACACCGACACCCACACCCACACACACCCACACTCATAAGATTCCTTTGAATTGATATCATAGATACCAGAGCATAAAACAGGCCTACTTTTTCTAGGCCGGGCCTGCCCGTTGCAGGCTTCAAACTTCTACAGCCTGCCTGTGCCTGTCGCTCATTTTCTGGGCCTGGCCTGCCTGCCTGTCGAAGCCTGTGTATAGTTTTTATGCGTCAATAGGGTATAATGATTAGCCTTTTGGTTACGGGATCCGCATTTATGTCGGCTGAGCGTCTACTCAGAGATGTCCATCGCGGCGCTGCCGCGCCGCCGCCGCTGCCGCTGCCGCTGCCGCGGTGGCGGTGGCGGCGCGGCAGCGGCAGGTTTTTAAAAAAAATCACCGCGGCAGCGGCGCGGTAGCGGCAGATTTTTTTAAAAGTCATCGCGGCAGCGGCGCGGTAGCGGCAGGTTTTTTAAAAAACCATCGCGGCAGCGGCGCGGCAGCGGCAGGATTTTTTTGGAGGACATTGAAAAACTGTATGAATTTAATGGAATTTCACGATTTACAAATGAAACGCCCTGATATTGAATAAATCTGATGGACTAGTACCCATATCTCTGGTCAAATATAGTCACAGCAGTGAAATTAGAAACACTTTTTTGAAAATCGTCGCGGCAGCGGCGCGGTGGCGGCACGTTTATTTTATAATTCATCGCGGCAGCGGCGCGGCAGCGTTTCTTTTATAAGTCATCGCGGTGCGGCAGCGTCGCGGCAACATTTTTTTATAAACCGCCGCGGCGCGGCAGCGGTGCGGCAGCTTTTTTTTTCTAAGGCCGCGGCGCGGCAGCTTTTTTTTTCTAAGGCCGCGGCGCGGCAGCGGCAGATTTTCAGCCGCGATGGACATCTCTGGCGTCTACGCAGATTATAGTTTTTACAGTCTTCTATCTTTCGTAAACTAGAAATTTTTCTCTTTCTCTCATGCTTTTAGTGTCAAAGCATCA